TATACCTTGATATTAAAGGGAGCTGGGGGGTCTTGATATTTTAACCTTTCTCGAGCCATTTAATTTTTTATACTTTTATTTTATTATTCCATTACGCTTTCTTTGCAGGACTTCACACACAGAAAACACCCCATGCATGCTAGAATATCCAAAATATTACAAAAGAAGTCAAAAAAGAGCAGATAAACTGATTTTCTTGGATTTTTCCTGTTTTTTCCCATTTTACAAATAAATTTTTTTTCCTACATGCAGGAACCTCCAGAATATCGAAAAACACATAAAGGAATAATATAATTTAAAATAAACAAAAAAAAAAGAAAAGAAATTTTTTTGAACATTTGACCGTCCCTGGGATTCGAATCCAGGACCCCTTTCTCCTGCAGCGAACTTGCTTGTCTGGTGGCCTACCTTCCAGTCCACAGTGATAGGTGAAGCCTTCCACAGTTTCACTTCAAAAGCTCTCTCCTCCCATCTTTCCAAAAAATATGAGGTCGAGTTTTATATGCCTTAAAATAAATTTTAAAACAAACTTTAATAACTTTACGTATATAAGTTTTTTCAATGTATACGCATTGTATGTGTGTATTGTAATTACATATATTTAAATGTACGCATGTATTTATACATTACTTGTAGTTATGTACATGTATACGTTGTATGTACATGCGTACATTGTGCATATAACTATTTTTTTGTACATCCATACATTACATGCGCATAAGTATTAACAGAGTATGTAGTTATACAAGTACATCATACGTTGTACGTAAGTTCATACTTTGCGTGTACATATATCGATGTACATATAAATGTGCATGCATACATGTACGCATTTTATTTACGCAACTATGTACATATATTGCAACTTTAAATAACATTCTTACATATTGTACGTAAATACGTCCTATTTTATATACATACGTACAGTGTATATACGTGCTATTATCGTAAATTCATACAATGTATGTACTTAAGTACATAAAAGCATGCAAACGCATAAACATTATTTTCATATACGTTCATACATGCATTGTCTATGCATACAGAGATACAAAATATTGCCTTTTTGTACAAACTAACATAGCTGCGTACATGTATCATAAATGCATAATTATATGTACTAAGCATATGTGTATTGCATTAAGTATATTACAATATAATTATGAATATTGTACGTACAAACAACGTTTGTGCATACATTGTATAGGAATTGCAAATTGTACGTTCATTCGTGCGTACATTCTATGTACATAAAAATATGTAAACTCACGCATACTTACATAATGAATTTGCTCATAGTATACAATCGTAAAACTTGTAATCGTATAGTTTGATTACAAGTAATCAAAATTACATGTTATCGAATTACATGCAATCATGATTACATGTAATCATATATTTTGATTTCTTGTAATCATAATTACCCGTAATCGTTTTCGTTGTGATTACTTGTAATCGCAATTACTTGGAATCATGATTTCAAGTAATTGATTGCTGTAATTGAAAAATGTAATTGATTACATTTTTCACTATTGTAATTAGTGAAACTGTAATTAGTGTACTGTAATTCACACTTACATTTTTCACTACTGTAATTGATTACATTTTTGATTACATTATGCACTTGTAATCGTGATTACAAGTAATTGATTACATAGCTGTAATTATCTGTAATCAATTACAGTTGTAATCGATTACTGTAATCGACGGCCAACTCTGGTACAGAGTATGCAGTTTGTATGAATTGATCCAAATCGGGGTTATTTGTAGTGTTTGGATAGAACACCATCTGATAGTAGAAATGAAGTTATTGGATTGTAATCCTTCATATCTATGACTAATTCTTTATTGAGGATTTCTTTAAAGCCTGCTGGATCATTATCTTTCAATTTATTATAGAAAGTGGCACTTAATTTATTAACATATTCTCTAATTGTGTCTGTATTTAATTCATTTATATTAGTTTTGTTCGGTAGGTGCACCAGTAATCCATTTGAGCATTTTGTTTTGAGCTATTTCTAGTCTTCTCACTTGGGATAGATTTAAGCAGTCCCAAGTAAGGCAGGCGTAAGCTAGAATCGGCATTATACACATTAAGTATGGTGTTTTTTTAAAATTTAATTGTAACGATGAGCTTCAATTAATAATTGGTCTGAGTCAGCTACGTAGGGCGCACTTGACTATAATAAAGCTGATAATGTTGCCATAGATAAAGCGTTTTGCTATAACGCCATCTGTTGTCGGTTTCAATTATCAATAACTTCCCTCTTTTTTTCGGTTTGCAAAATTTTTGAACTAACTGTAGCCTATGAATTTAAGTTGTCAATAAAATTTTAAAATGGTTTCAGGGCTTCGGTTAATTTTTTTAATTATTTGCAAATTTTAATTCATTGCATAATTAAAATTAACTCGTGTCCAGAGAGTGTAGTGATTCCCGTTGTTTAAATTCTTCGCAAATAATTATTTGTTGTGATTACAGAATAAAAGGATGTATTAATGAAATTTTAATTAAACCTTTAATTTACTTCACATAATGAGTGTAATTTGCTTTTTTCAAATTCATAACAGAACGATTTGTGTAATTGAAAGTTTGTGCTTAACAGTGTTTAAATTATCGAAAAAAATAGAACCATCTTGAAGAATTGGTGTAAATTCATTAATGTTTAGTGCAATATTGCAAAAATTATGCTCATTTGTTATGATATATAATTGCAAAATTTATAATCAATGTTGCAAATATGTGCATTTTATTTTGCAAAAACCACGTTCTATAACTGATTATGAGTTCAGTTTTGTCACAATTTTAACAAATATTGATTAATATTGTATCTTGTGTTTAACATTTATTTACTAATAATTTGTTAATTTTATTTCTGTGTATTTTTTTTATTATTTTTTTTATTGTATGGTTGCATTAGATTTTAAATGTTTTAACTATAAAATGAAATTGAAATGTCCAGTAGCCTAAAACTTATAGTATACCATACAAAATTATAATTTTTATTTATCAATTCTTTTGTTGATACAAATTATATGTGTAATTTTACTATTCACCTCAAATCTTTATTACCAGATTTTAAAGTATAACTGTAAGATATTAAAAGATAATTGATGATGTAATTATTCAAACTATTATACTATGTTCTTAGGGTGGCTATACGACAGTCAGGAAATTTTATCATTCTAAAATTGTCAGTGATTTTTAGTTAAATATCCGGTTAATCAGGAAAAATAATAAATTTATGTTTTCATGTTTATTATGCCGGAAGTTCGATAATGTTTCCAAAATAAATTAGTCTTGTAATGATTCGTAATTTTTATGGCACGTCATTTATGAAATATATCTCAAAATAAATGCATAAATTTGTTTTGAATAAATTTATCTTAAACATAAATCAGGGAATACGTTATTTGTTAATAAATATTGCTTTTACTTTAAATTTTTTAAAGAATTTTTTTTTAAATGTTATTTGAGGGTGTAAAATTTTCTCTCGCCAAATTACCTGAGGCAACTGAATATTTAGTAATTTATTATGTAGAGATAGACTCTCTAACATAATAATTTGACATCAGATTGTTCTTGACATTTTAGTGCAGGGAAACAACATTATATGAACATGAAATGTTAAAAGTTTGAGAAAATTACTGATAATTTAATTTTTGATATATTTTTATTTCAATAACTTTTAATGATGTGGGTAATATTAAAGGTATTGTGATCATACAGCAATCTTACTTCAAAATAATATTAATTCGTTCAAATAAATATGTTCCCCATTTTTTCAGCTTATTCCATTTTTAAGGATTTGATCACCGAAAAGTTCTTTATATTACGTTTTTACACTTTAAAAATTGTTTATATTTTTCTTAAAATAATGGCGGGCACAAAGTTTAATCTGGCTAGTACCTTTAGTATTGAAATTTGATTCCCTGTGTTACATTATTCATTTTTCATGTTACAGACTAAAAGACTTATACATAAGTGTTCTGTAATACATATTATGTTAAGACATAACTGAATAATAAATTTTAACCTACTCGGCAGTAAAATCAAGAAATTTGGTCTGAAAATTCTGAGTGTTTTTCGTCACCCTTGTTTCAGATTTGGTCTAATTTATTGAGCAATGTATCTAGAAGAAATTCCTTTTAACTTGGAGTTTTAATATGACTTTAATATTTCAACAGTAATGTGTAAAAGGGTTATTTGCTCAAAATGTTAATTTTTTCCTAAAACAATTGAGAAAAATTCATCTCATAAATAACTTAAAGTTGGTAATTTTTATTGAATTGTTAATTGTTTTTTAGAAATTTGTCTTTCTTCAAATTTTTAATTGACACATATTTTCATTTTTCGTACATCTTTTCTTTGCAACCAATGGAACATTATATCATAAGTGAAAAAAATTCAGTTGACTTTTTATTTTTATGGAGGAAGTTTTATTATTCATATTTTTTTCACCTATATTTAAGCAATTTATCTAAGATTAGGAAGTGTCAATAAGTACTAGAGCTGAACTACTAATTTCTATAATACTTTAAGATTTTTTTTTTTTTCAATAGAGTATGTTTATGTGTGACTAAATTGATTTATTCTTAAATAATGTCTATGAATAGGAGGTATTTCAGTTTTTCTTATAATTATCTATTATATATTTTTGCGTATGAGATAGAGCAAAAGAATAAAACTTTGATAGGATATTATAGACTGATATTACAAACTCTAGGATTTTTTTTTTTTTTTTTGTGTTCAAACTATATTTATATGCATAGTTGAAAGAATTTAAACAAAACAAGGTTTATAACTAAATTAGTTCTTGCTTTAAAATTTAAATATTGTTAAAAAAGATTTTTGATAGAAATTGCTTAGCTTTAATTAACTTAATGAATTGTAATTGTTCGTAAGTAGTTCTAAGATGCATAAATTTTTTAAATTTTTTTTTTAATGTTTTTATAATTGTTTTCTTGGGTTGAACCTTTTTGACTAAATTTCTGGTGGCACTTGTGTTTCTATACTTATAATTAATTAAATGATTTGCTGAATTAATTTTATTATCAAATTTATAACATTATGTTTAGATGTGTAAAACTAAGTCGAAATTTAATTTAACCAATATGTTAAATTTCGATATATTATAATTTTATATATTATATGTATGATATATTGTACATTTTTCTAAACTAATTTCTAATAACTCTAACTTCAAATATTTCTAAAGTCTAAAACTAAGAACATTCCAAATTGTAGATATGTTAATTCTGGATGTTAAAGGAATACAATCTTTCAATGGTTTTTTTTTCCTTTAAAGAAAACTAATTACAGCATAAAAGAAAAAAAAGGAAGGAAAGAAAAAATACTAGAACGTAAATAAATTTTAAGCAGTTAAATACTTATTAGATTAAATTAATTTATAAAACTAAATTTTCCAGAAAAGTAAGAAACATGATGTAAATTTTTTCTCAAGTAAAACAAAATGTGCAAATACTGTTTCATATGCGTATAAGATAAAATATGAAAATACTGTTTCATATGTGTATTACTATGAATCTGAAACAACAAAACTTGTAATTTTAATTCACAAGAAGTAGATAATATCTAAAGTATTAATAACGGAGGAGAAAATATAAATAAAATAAGTAATCATCTACAATTGAAGGTAATGTGAGTCAGTTAATTACAATCAGTGAGCTTGCTGCTGCACATAATTTAGGTTTTCGAACCATGGAATAAAGCTTGATTCTCTGCTCCATGGAATTCTCTGCTTGAATTTCTTTTGCCATATTCATTTTAAAAAAAGATATTTACTCTTTCTTTAAAACGGTTGCTGATAATACCTGATTAAGAACATCTTTCTTCAAAGGGAATAGAAATAGCAGCTTTTATTTAAAATTAAGCAGTTTTAATCAAACCTTAACTGTATTCACATCAAATTTATAAAGAAAAGTTTTTACATTTAAGTTTATATTCAACTGAGTAAAGTATTAAATCAAGAGTGTATAGTAAAGTATTTGAATAATAGTTTCAAGTACCAAGTGTATATTATATATATAGAGAGAGAGGATTTAATAAAAAGGTATAATTAGTTGTTTGATGATAATATATTTTCAAATAAATTATTTCAATCATTATTAATTGTGATTATATTATACATTGTTTTTAATTTATGTATTTGTGAATTGTGTAATTTTTTTTAAGAATTCTAATTAATAAAATAATTTGTTTTTAAAAGTTTTATTAATTTTTATTCACATGTTTTACATAGAAAAACTAATTATTTTATTAAAATTCTTTATTACGTTATTTTATCTTTTTAAAGTTTGATTTAAAAAAATAAAAAATTAGTGAATCCTAGTATTTTTGTGAAAACAATCTAAAAATGTTTTTTACATTGTTGGTATATTATTGATTTTTATAGTATAATTCTGATTTTAGAATTTTGAAGTGCTGTAAATATGCTAAATGTTAGTAATGTTTAAAGATTTTAATTAATTTTAAACAAAATGTTGTAATTTAAAAGATAGAATTTCAAGTTGAGTACCACAAAATGGAATAGAATTAAAGGGATTTTTTGTGACAAATTATTTTAATTCTATTTCATTTGTTTCATTGTGAATTTCTATTTTGCTATTTTTATTTATATTGATTCATGATCGAAATACTTATGAGTTATTCCTATAGTATGAATTAAACTTAATTCTGAAAGTTCAGATAGGTCAATTAGATTCAGATAGGTGTTTAACACATATTTAAAAATAAAGACAAAATATGAGATATTTGAACTAGTAGAGTTCATTTATTTTTCCTGATTGCAACCTTTTCGGCAACTTGCTGCAATTGGTATAACATGTGAGTGGCCAGTGTGAAAAATCATTGCTATACTTAAATGTTATAATTTCCATAGCCTCTAGAAAAATGAATCTCTATAGAATAAAAATTTTTACCTATAACATTAAAATGTTTTTTTTTTTAAGTTCAAGATTTAAATGTGTATTTTACAGGGCTCGAAATTAACGGTGGTCCGTTGGTCCGTGACCACTAAAACCGGAGTCGGACCAGCATAAAATAATAAACAGTGGTCCGCCGGATCACCATCCGCCGCAGCCGATCTCCGTTAATCTATTCTCGTAGTCGATCTATTCTCGATCTTACGAAACTTAAACGATCTTACTTAAAACTATTTTAGAGCTTATTCACACTTTTTTTTAAAAATTTTTTATAAAAAATTAATATTAATCAAAAAAATGCGATTTAAATCAAAAATTTATGATTTTTAAAAAAAAAATCATGATTTTTTCAATCAAAAATTTTAATTAATTTTTTTTATTTGCAGCTAATAGGAATGCGTAGACGGACCAGTAAAGTTTTGTGCGGACTAGTAAAATGTTTCAGTTACTGGTCCTATGGACCAGTAATTTTTTTTTTAAATTTCTACCCCTGTTTTACATATAAGATATTAATGGTCCTTAAAATGTGAGAAGTTGTGCATTTTTAAAAGCCCTGTCTAAGTAATGATCTAAAATAGTTAAAAAAAGTAAAATTTTTTAACCATCTGATTTTAATTTTTACGATTTATTTCTTCTGTTGCGCTTCTAGACATGTGGAAACTATCTTTTCTATTTCATCCATATTTTAAAATAGGAAGCAATATTTTGAATTTTCAGTGCTAAAAATAAATTTTAAAATGATTAAAAATGAATTTTTATATATTTATTAACAAAACTCTCCAAACATCCCTGTGTGGCTTATTTATAGTTTTAGGAATACAACGCATTGGGTAAACACTCTGCTTGAGTGCTGCTAGGATGATCTTGATTTAGTTTAGAATTTGAATTGTCAATCTTTAAAATAATCAATTTCAGTTTGTAATAGCTATCAGAAAAAGTATTTCTGTACAATAAATTTGCAACTAAGAGTCATGTCATTGTAAAAACATTAAAAATTTCTTACTTACACTGATGCCTGCATTAAAGGCCTTTCGTTATTAAGTAAATTTAATGCTCTTATTCTGATCTATGTATTTTAATCTTTCATGTTGCTTTATTAAGTTCCTTAATTTTAGTCTCATTTTCAATTTGATAATTCTTTTTTTTTATATAAATATTAAAATACTTGTGTAAAGTTACAATAGATATTTTATCACAGCTCATGTAAAAATGTCTAATTTTGATAAACTTTTGTATAAAAAATAAATTCAATTATTTTTTTTTATTTGCTTAACACGCATTATTTTTAAAAAATTATATATTTCATAATTTTGACTTTTAAAATTTCAAATTTAGGAAATTTTTTGATAATATAATTGATTTTTAAAAGTGTATGTTAAGTCAGTTGTTGTAAAAAACCACATACGTTAAAATGTATGGCATAACAAAAGAATTATTATTTATTTATTTTTTTAAATTTTGATGTAGTGTTAACAATTTCAACATCTGTCGAAATAAAATATGCAATTCAGCTTTAGTGAATGTTGTTTTAAATGTTGTATATTTTCAATTTATTATTCTAAGAGTTTATTTCAATATTTTTATAATATTGATGAGTTTCAGTGTTGTTTGTATAGTTTTCCATATTATTTAGCTTAATATAGCAGTTAGACTTGTGTATTTATTATTAGATTCATTTTTAAGTCTATTCACTTTTGGAAAATATTGTGTTGATACTTTTTATACCATTAATAATCTACATTATTATTATTGTTGCCTTACATCAGCCAAGGAAATGAAAGAAAAGAATAAATTGAGTTCTTTTAAAATTTAGTAGAATTGTTGGGGAGGAAATTAGATAATTTATAATATGTTAGAAGTCCCCAACAATAGAAAATAAGTGCTGCAAGATTTTTAAAATTTTTTTTTTTAGCTTTTTAAAATTAGCACAAAAAAAGTAGCTGTCAGTCCTTGGAAAAAAAGTTTACTATTGATGATAAATTGAATAATATTTCCAGGGGTCTGTATAGGTTTTTCTTAGTGGTACCTATTTTGTGAAAATGTTGACATAATTTGTGAACAATTAAAAATTTATATTAAAAAATCAACACAAAAATATGGATTCATCGTTTCTTAAGGGATAAAAAAATAAAATTTATTTTGTGAAACTACTGTTTTTCCTAAAGTTGAATTTGTGAAACTACCGTTTTTCCTAAAATTGAATTTGTGAAGGTACCGCTAAACGATAGTAAATTCGGCCTGGACAGACCCCTGATTTCCTACAAATAGGTACTTTTTTGAGGAATCATTTGTTCGTGAAATAAATGTCCTCATAACTTTTTTTTTAATAGTTTTTTCAACATGCCTAAAAAACTAAAAGGCTTAGCAAAAAAAAAAAANAAAAAAAAAAAAAAAAAAAAAAAAAAAAAAAAAAAAAAAAAAAAAAAAAAAAAAAAAAAGGGAAAAGCTTAATGTACAAATTAAATAATAAAACTTCATATGCTTCCCTATGAAACATTTTTTTATGACATTAAATGTTTAGAAAATATGGGACGGAGAAATAAAATATACTAACAATTATCATATCATATACTTAATGAGAACAGGGCTGCTGCCGCTTGCGATTATTCAAATTTTTAACTGCTTTTTTTGGCAACTAAACAAACCACCATATTTGTCAATTTTTTAAAAATTTTTTGAAGAGACTGTTTATTATTTTATTTATTTTTTAAAGAAATGATTTACAGCAGCATCCAATACTATGCAACTTGCTGCAATTTTCCCTACATCCTGTAGACTGTGGTTCAGTGTTAGTGTTCTGATCTCAATGAAATCAAAACTTAAAAGTCAAATATTTATAAAAAATATTAACATAGCAGTTGGTGTGAACAAGCCCACTAGAGAATCGCATAATTTTAAGGAGGCTTTTGATTTGTGAAAATCTAAAAACTATTGAATGAAAAGAAGAAAAAAAATTTTTTGCTTAATTTAGTAATAAATGTTTATGAATTATTTTGATATGCAAATATTATTGATCCAGTTACTAGGCTTTATTTTGTTTTATAACTGGCAGTGAACCACTGACCAAATTCTAACTTTACAACTATCAATGTTCAACTCCGTAGCCTGTTAGTTTTGAACCCAACCCGGAAGACAAGGAAATTCCTGGATCACGCATTAAGACAAACCAGCCTTCATAGATAACTTTTTGATGGAACTAATTTCATTTGCATTACACGGAGAAGAAAACCACAAAAACCTCCTATGGTTAGCCTGACTAACCTGTGATCCACCTACCGCTGAGAATATATTTTTTTTGCAGGACTGTGCTCAGTGCAAGCTGGGAGCAGAATTTGTATAAATCAACCACCTCTGTGATTCGAACCTGGGTCACTTCATTACGAAGCGAATGTTCTACCCCTGAGCCATCACGGCTTTAGACATCACGTTTTTATAACCTTCTTTGAATAAAAAACAACTATTTTTGAGTTTGCGGCAGTCAATGTTCAACTCCGTAGACTTGTAATTTTGAACGTAATCTAGAAGACGTTGGAACTCCTCGATCAAGTATTGGGGCTAACTCGACTTCGTGGAAGTCTTTTTGATGGAACTAACCCGCATTTGTTTTACATAGTGAGGAAAATCACGAAAACCTCCCACGGTTTGCCTGACAGCAAGGGGACTCTAACCCATGCTCCGTCTTCCATTGAGGATATTTTGGGACAACTCTGTGGTAGGTGCGGGATTAGTATAAACCAGCCATCACTGGGATTTGAACCTGGGGCAATTTATTGCGAAGCGAGCCCCTATCCCCTGAACCACCACAGGCACTTGGTTTTCAATTATTTTACATCAAAGTAAAATTTGAATCATGTTATAAAATTAAAGCTTAAAATATGAACCTCATTATGACTTTGCAGCCATGTACTCTTATAAAAAGAAAAGTTCAACTCTTTCTTTTTACCTTTGAATTTTTAATAAATTTTTTATTAGCTTCTTGTAATTTTCTATATCAAGAATATTCAAAAAAAATTTTTAATCAACTTATATTATGCATGTAAGACATAGGTTTTATGAATATATATTGATGTAGTGCTTAGTGTCATACAAATCATGACATTCAATTATGTATTGAAACCAATCAGTTTACTGCAATTTGTATTTCTTTAACATTAACTATATAATTTTAACAAGTATTTATTTGCAGTTCCCTATTATGCTGAAAGTGTCAAAATGCTTAAAGAATTGAAGCGCAAGATTCACAGATGCCCGTACTGTGCCTACATTACTCCTTATTCAAGTAACATTTACAGGCATGTTCGATCACATACCAAAGATAAGCAATTCATTTGTCATTTTTGTCTAAAGACATTTGCATCTGAAGAGATTTGTAAAGCGCACACGGATCATTGTCCGAAAGAGTATGGTTGTGATGAGTGTGGTATCAAGTTCAGTAGACATTCTGATTTTACTAAACATTACTTAAAAATTCACCAACAAGTTGAACAATGTGATACTGTTGTTGTACCTAATGATTACCAAACTGCCTATAACTTCTGAAATTTTAAAATTTATTTATTTAAAAAAGAAAATACCAAAGATCAACGATTCAGTTCAGTTGACATTCTGATTTTACTAAACATTACTTAAAAATTCACCAACAAGTTGAACAATGCAATACTGTTGTTGTACCTAATGATTACCCAAGTGTTTCAATAACTTCTGAAATTTTAAAATTTATTTATTTTTAAAAAAAAGTACCAAAGATAAACGATTCATTTGTTGTGTTTGTCCTTAAGAGGACGTTTTTCTGCAGGGCTTCATGAAAAATTCTGTTTTAAAAGCACAAATAATTTAAAATTTAATGTAAAGAAAATATTGAGTTCATGTAAACCATAAAATTTTTATTCAAAACATAAAAATGTGAAAACGAAGAATTGGGGCTGAATTAACATAATAGAAAAATTATGCTGCCATACTTTATTTGCATTTTGAAATTTTGAAGAAAATTTCAAATGAAGTTTGAAAATTTTAGTATTGTTTATACATTTAGTTTACTAAACTCACTTTTTTTTTTAAACTTTAAATTGCTAATAGAAAAGAATTCACCATAAAAAGTATCCTCAAAGTTGCCAAGATTGTGCATGAAAATTGATAGTTGTGAGAAAAAGTTTGACTGAGTTGAAAATGAAAAGTTATTAATTTGATAATTTTATTTAGCTAAGCAGTGCTTAAAAATGCACTCAGTTTTATTATGATACTGTTGTGCTTTCTGATAATAGAAAAAAGTATAAAGTTTCTGAATTTTTTAAACATATATGAGGATAAATCAGATTAGGGCTTCATTTTTTTATGGGTAGATAAAACTCTCTTGATCCTTTGGCTCCGATTGATTTTTCCTCATATTTTGCCTCAACTTTATTTATTTTTTAAATCCATTTATTTAATTTCTATCAAATAAACTAAAATGTAAAATTTTTTTTTATTTTGTTTAAAAAATTGTTAAATTATATAAAATTTTGGAACACACTGCAAATTTTTGGGAATCATTCAAAATCTGAAATTGATTCCAATGGGGATAAAATGATATTTTGAAGAAAAAATAAAGGCTGGATTTAATATGTATCACATGACATGTAAATACTCTTTCATTTAATCAATGAATACACAAATAGTAAAAAAAAAGAAAAAAAAATTAGATGTGTAAGAATAATCTATATTATTACTTATTGCTACACCTTTAAAAATTTTTCTCTATTTAATATTAAAATTAAAAATTTTATTTGTCAATGTATTTTTAAGCGACATGAAAAAACAGGAGTTTTTATTTTTTTTAGATATAAAATTTCTGATAGTATGATTGTTTTAATATGTTTATATATTTTTATTAAGTTTTGAAGTGTAAGCAAATTTAAACTCTCTTATTCTAGTTTTTTTTTAAGTATTACCATAACAACATAAGCTTACTTTTAAATTGGCAATGTGTTCTAGAACATATTTGTCAGCCACTTTTCATTAACTAATAAATAAATGAACACTAGATAAATGTAATTGTTTTACTGTCATGTTTCTAAAATTGTGTTATAGAAATATTTATTTTGAAAAAAATTCATTTACTTTATGAATATGTTTTGGATCTGTTTTCAAAAATATTTGCTTTACAAAAATTTCCTTTCTAGATTTTAATTTAAGCAATTTAATTTTAAATGCACTTTAAATCACTCAGTGATTAAAGTAAGTCTATATTTGGAAGTAATTTCTGATGTAATTATGTTGGCATACGAAATTTAGGGCATAAAAAATCGATTTCAACAGTTTGACTCAAATAAAAATTTAGTTAAGGAACTTGAATCCACAAAGGGATTTTTTTGTGGATTAAAATCTTAATCATCCTTGATTTTATTTTTATCAATTTTATTTTTCGATAATTTTTTAAATGATCAAAAAAGTTTTTATTGTATTAAAGCTTATTCTATATAAAATAAACTAAAAATATGATTCAAGTTTATTTCAAATTGTTTGATAAGTAATACAATGAATATAATGAGTAATACAATGAATGTTATGACAAAAATATAATTGTAAATAATGATACCAACTATTATGTTTTTAAAACTATTGTGCAGCAGTTTATAAATCAGTTGTGAATGCTGTTAGCTGCTTGAAAAGTCCTATTCTTTTCAAATTGTCTGTGTTACTTTGCAGAACAACATAACTGTGATAAGCCTAACAAATGACGTCAGCAGTTTGCTAAGAACTAAATTTTTCATTTAGTCTACAATTTTCACATCTTGTGTTTTTATATGCATTATTATAATTGATCATTGTTAATTTTTTTTGTTATTATTATATATTTTATCAAAATTATAACATTAATTTATTTTTCTAGTTTTTGTAATGAGTTTTTGATATCAGTTCATACTATCTTTTCATTTTAAAGGTAAACATGTCATGTTTTAATCTTAAAATAAATGTCTTTTTTTTATTAAAAAAACTCTTGATAACTAAACTAGAACCAGGATTATTCAGTAGTGAAAAGAAATATTGTAATGATGAAATTTATTAATAAAACTGATAGAATAGTTGAAATTAGTAAAAACAATTTTTATCGCAATAAAGTGAAAATATTAATATAATACATTAAAGGTTGAAAATACATTAAATTTTTTTCAAATGAAATCTTTTAATAGTATGCATAATTTTTAGAAAGTCATCCAGTGCTTTCTCTAGAATTTGAAATTTTCTTTCTTAAAAACGATGGCTTTTAATTGGAACACCTTGTTCTCCGGTCTTTTGAATTACATCACAATTTTTTATTATAGGCAAAAGGCTTTCCAGGATTTTGAATATTTTAAGCAATTTGTGATTTCAATGTAATTCTTTTATCCACTTTCTTCAAACTTTTTTTATTTCTATACTAAGCATATAGCCTTAATCTGTTTACTTGCAGTAATTTTCGCTAAAAATCAACATTTGTCTAAATAAAAAATATATATCTTAGAGAGAACTGTTAAGTATAAGCTAAAATAAAATCAAGAAGAACGTGAGTAAATCCTCTCTTACAACACTTCTCAGAGAGATAAAATACAATTTTAAAAAAAAAGTTGTAGTTTATTAACGTCGCACTAGAGCTGCACAATGGGCTATTTGTGACGGTCTGGGAAACATCCCTCAGGATGATCTGTAGTCATACCATCCTAATTTCGATCCCCTGCAGAGGGGATGGCAACTCCGCTTCAGTAGCACATGAATTTAAAAAGAAAAAAAAAACTGTAACTGAAACCTTTTGAAACTAAATTTACAAAGGTTATGAACTCAAACAGGTCCACCATGCACAGGCAATATACACTGAAAATTCTCAATGTTGGAAAGTAATAGATATTTCGAATCTTTATGACCATTGAATATATCGAGGATCTTCTAAGTTAAGAATAAGTGGTTATGTCTCTTCTTTTTCATTCACAGGGTGGTAACAAAAAAAAAAAAATGGTGGTTTGAATAATTTCCTCTAGACTTTTGTTATCCTGTTACCCATTGACTCACTGTCAACGGAAAAATGTTAGTTTTCAAAGTGGGAAATAATGTGTTGTGTAGTCTTTGTTTTTGGAATGATTTCTAGGAATAAAAAAAGTGAAACAAAATTTTGGTCACTTTATTGGAATGAATGGTTCAGTTCCTCGTGGCAAAATTGCAGCGACACGGCGACATTGTCACTGAGCATTATAGAGTTCTTGCAGAAAGATTTTTCTTTTTGAAAAGTAAAAAATTTTAGTTTTCTTTTCTACAGAAATTTACACATGTAATATTCGAACCATGCATTTAGATGATCACTTTTTGATTTATGCCGATAGTATCGTAAATCAATGTAATGTTTCGATTGTATTTTCAGCATTTATTGATATTGATTTACACATGGATTTTAAATACCCTGATATATTTCAAACAACATGGAAAATTTGAATCGTGCATTTGAGTATTTACATTTTAAGGAAATAATTCTATCGAATTTTTTGGTAGTTATTGCTATTGATTTCTTCATGGTTTTTTACATGATATTGTTAATTACAACCTGATCTCTAATGATTTTTAATTATTTTTTATTGTGATGATTATTTACAAAATGAGAAAAAGGAAATACTTGGTGCGTATTGTGTATATATATATATATATATATATAGTTTTTTTGTAAGCACAACTGTTGTTTTAAATCAGTTACATATATGTTTGTTATTATTAAAAGTATCTTGCAGACAGATATTAGAGCTATCGAGTTTTGTCGCAGGCGACTGAATAAATTCAGCCATAAGGATTCAGTTTGGACGCTCTAATGACTGTTAAAATAATACAGGGTGCATAGCGTTTGTAAAAAGTACTTAAAGGTGCTTTTTTGGGGATTTCGTTTGTAAAAGCTTTTAAAGGTGCTTTTTTCAGCTGGCGTTTTTAAAAAGTGCTTTTTTTCACGAAAATANTTTATTATAATGATTATTTGCAAAATGCAAAGGGTTAATGTTAATGAAATATATACATACTCCTATATTTATACACACACACTTGTAAACACAGCGTTTTTATTATTTTAAATTAGTAACATGTATGCTTGTTATTATTAAAAGTATCTTGCAGAAAGATATTAGAGCTATCGAGTTTTGTCGCAGGCGACTGAATAAATTCTGCCATAAGGATTCAGTTTAGACGTTCTAATGACTGTTAAAATAATATGGTGTCTATGGAACAGATCAAATGAGATTTCATGAATTGGTCATTATTATAATGGAAGGAATTAAAAATTATAATCACTCTATATGAGAAGTGTTATGGTTTATTTTAGAGTTAAAACATGAGGCATCATCATTCTTGATTTTATTTTCCTTAAACTTTGTGATTATTTAAACATTATGTCGTTCAACTAAAACGGCTGTACGGAAGTAGTTTACAAACATCATGCTTATAACTGAATTAAATAATTTTGAAAAAATAAATATAGAATATTGTTTTTGTAAAAAAGAAAAAAAGAGAGAAATCCAGTATTTATGAGTTATGTTTAAATATTTTGCTATTGCTCGGAGTTTACTCACAAAATAATGGCTTTGATTTATAGTATGTATATTATCACAACAGGGAGTTACTATATCAAGCTATAACTGTATTAAAAAATTATGAAAATAATTTTAATTATTTTTTTGTTATTATTTCAGAACAATAAAATGCCAATATTGTTATAATTCTGTTTTATACACTGATGTTAATTTGTTTACTGTTAAAACTTTGTGATTTAATCACTAAATTTCTTACAATATCTTTGATCTAACAAGTTTATCTGTTCTTGCAATTACTTGAAAACGTGTCTGATTTATATCCTAGACTTTTTAAAAATGCAAATTTCCTATAGATGTCTGCAACATTTCTTGAATAAATTCACTTTCATATGAATGTTTCTTTTTTTTATATTTATAAGGTATATGTTCTTAAATGTTTTTTTTTTGCTATGGTTTTGTTATCTTTAATAGTATATTTTTCATAACTGTGATATTCAATTTTCTTTTTTAAGGCTTTTGTGTTAATTTCAAGAATCTTCTCTTTAATATTTTTTGGGCAAAAAATTCCTTTAGAATTTAGAGTCATGCTACCATATCGATCTTAAAGGTTTGTATTCTTTAGGTTACTTATCCTCAAGATACTCAAGTGCTGGTATGAGATTTTCTAGACGCAGCTATTTCAACCTTTTTTTAAAAAACATTTTCTTCTTTTTCTGTTTTTTAAAATCATTTTTAGATTATTATTATTATTATTTTTTTTGAGGTTGTTGAAAAATAATCACATCGTTGAAAATATTTAATTTAACTTCTTTCTAAATGTATAATAACTAATGAAAATAAATTTACACATGAAATTGTCTTAATTGTTTTTCAATTATATTCTTTTAACTTTATTTTGTGTTTTTCATTTAATCTCATGCTTTCCTAGTCATGTCATGAATCAATAATTAGATTGAAAATTTATTGATTGTTAAATTTTATTATGATCACGGTTGTAAGAATCAAGCAATTATTTATTTTTTAAGACTTATAGTTTGGAAATTTATTTCTAAGATAAATTAACATATATTTTTGTAATTTTTCTACACAGTCTAAAACGTTTATTTCCTCATTTACCAAAATTTCATTTCACTCATTATGTTTTTCACTTTTAATAGAGATAATGTAGTTGGTGTTTAAAAAGATGAAACTAATTACTAGTTTATCTTTAATCTGACATTCTGAATCAAGATAAACCTTTTATGTCAGTGGTGATGAACCAGTGACCTGTGGATCCACCATGCACTGCCCATAAAGGCTTTTTTAATGATCCTTACATTGATTATTTTCTAACACTAAAAAGCAAAGCTAACTTGAAAATACTGGATGTCCAGAATAGGTAGACCAGGAAAAAAACTGGTAAATTTAAAAAAATTTGATAAATGTCTAGGAATTGAACAAAACTATGCAAAAGGTCTGAGGAAATAAATTTAAGGTATTTAAAAGTATATTTTTTCCACAAAAAAAAAAATTAAATAAAATGGTCTTGTATTTTTTTAAAAAAAAATTGCTTATTAGCTGTAATGTAATGTCATATATATGTGTTTTTTATAGTATATTGTGTATAAAAGTGTTTTAAAGTGTTAAAAGTGTTTAAAAAATTAATGATAAAATCCATGCCACCAGTTTTAAAAAATCAGGGAAATTAGATATTTTTTTAGAAAAGTCAGGTTTTTTTTTTTTCCTGGGAGTTTGTGGACTTCTTGAAATATTGGAGTGAAATATGAAAAGCATAAATATCTAATGTTGACTTAATGAAAAAAATATTTACAAATGTTTATATGTTTGCCAACTGCTTTTGTGTTTCATTGCACTTGTTTGTGACACATTAATTTAGGACCTTTTTTTGGTCATCCCTATCGCTGAAGTGAAGACATGATTAAGTTGCGTCGTCTGGTGTGGTTTTTCATTGTATCTCTCCAATGGCATCCATTTTTTGATGCCGACTTTTTTGATCTTCACTCGATTAAGAAAAAGTGGTAGAAAAAATAGGGTGAAAAGTGATCACTTTTAAAGGATTTTAAAATGCGACAGTATCAAACTAGGGTCAACTGCTAATTCTCTTAACAGATTTTCATTTTTCTAAATAATAAAATACCTTTTTATTCTTCCATGTGATGCCACTGTCTTAGTACCCCATGAGCTAGTATTTAACCCCTTAACGATTGGTTAAAATTCAAGAATGTCTTAAAATAGTCATAAAAGTGCCTATTTTGCCAAATACACGTATTTGATTAGTGCTGTCATCTAGTTTAACATAAACTAACTATCTACAATTACCTTAAGAATATCCTAGTACTGCCATCTGGTGTGTAAAAGGGGAAATTAAACGTTTTCCTGGCAAAAGAAATGAATTAGTTTTATTCTTAATTAGTTTTACTAATTACTTATTAGTTTTACTAAACACTCCAGCCCAGAAATTTCACAGGAGCGAGAAATTGATGGCGAAACCTCAGCCCGTCATTTTCATAGGAGAGAGATGAAATGGGTTAAAAATTAAACTAGATTTGATCTGCTCAAAAATGTTTGCTGTCGCCAATCTATATAATATGAATTATTGACATAGATGTAATTTTCATTCAAGTGGTTATAATTAAAAAAAGAAATTGACCAGAGTCTCCTTTGTTTATTTTTGATAATCTTTATAGCTATTTAAATTTATTAATTTTATTTCAGTTGTGAAATTGGAAGGTGACAGCAGGAAACAGGACATTTCCAAGAAATCTGTTTCTAAGTTGACACAGTCGAAGAAATTATTCATTTGTTTCGTCTGCGGTTACAGTTGTAACCATAAAGGACACTTTGAAAGGCACCAGGGCATTCATACTGATGTTCGTCCCTTTGCATGTTCTGTTTGTGGCAACCGTTATCGTGTCAAGGAGCATGTGATGTCTCACATGAGAATTCATGCTAAGCAGAAAGATATCTTCAAGTGTCCTATATGTTCTAGGCACTTAGCCTCAAAAAAGTGCTTAATTACCCATTTGCAAAAACATAAAGCTAAGGAATCTTAGTGAAAAGTCCTTGAGTTCTGTGAAAGATATCCTCAAGTGTCCGATTGAGATTACTTTTTTTTTGCAGAATCATAATATTTGAGAATCCTTGTGAAAAGTTTCTAAGTTCTTATATATCTTCAAGTGTTCTATATGTTCTAAACATTTAGCTTCTGAAAGTATATTACTTATTTGAAATATATTAAAAAACGTAATACTAATGATAAATTCTTGTTAAAAGTGTCTCCCTGAGTTTTCGGAATGATATTTTCAAGTGTCTTAGGTTGAACATATTTAGCTTGATTACTCATTTGAGAAATCATAACAGTAATGAATCCTCGTAAAGAGTTTCTCCCTGAGTTCTTATATATCTTCAAGTGTTCTAAACATATGCTCTAAACATTTAGCTTCTGAAAAGATATTACATATTTGAAGAAACATAATAATAATGATAAATTCTTGTTATAAGTGCTGAGTTTTCGGAATGATGTTTTCAAGTATCTTGTGTCGAACATATTTAGCTTGATTACTCATTTGAGAAATCATAACAGTAATGAATCCTCTTAAAGAGTTTCACCCTGAGTTCTTATATATCTTCAAGTGTTCTAAACATTTGTTCTAAACATATGTTCTAAACATTTAGCTTCCGAAAATATATTACTTATTTGAAAAAACGTAATACTAATGATAAATTCTTGTTAAAAGTGTCTCCCTGAGTTTTAAGAATGATATTTTCAAGTGTCTTAGGTTGCACATATTTAACCTGATTACTCATTTGAGGAATCATAACAGTAATGAATCCTCGTAAAGAGTTTCTCCATAAGTTCTTATATATCTTCAAGTGTTCTATATATTCTAAACATTTAGCTTCTGAAAATATATTACTTATTTGAAAAAACGTAATACCAATGATAAATTCTTGTTAAAAGTGTCTCCCTGAGTTTTCAGAATATTTTCAAGTGTCTTATGTTGAACATATTTAGCTTTATTACTCATTTGAGGAATCATAACAGTAATGAATCCCCGTAAAACGTTTCTCCCTGAGTTCTCAGAAAAATATCTTCAAGAGTGCTGTGTGACCTAGGTATTTAGCTTTTAAAAAGTCTAATTACTAGTTCTAACTAATTAATTAGTCTAACTAAATTGATGATATTAATAGTATGAAAAATACTAATGAGTCCTTATTTGTTTTTAAATTAAAATGTTAAGGACTCATTTTTTTATTGTTTGATGTATTGAAAGAAAAAAAAAATATTAATGTTTTAAATATTTATTATGTGTGCATTTTGCTAAATGTTTTTAATATGCACTTCTTTCAGCAGAAATATTTATCGTTATTTTCTTTTAAAGATATTTTGCATGTTCTTTTAAGGTAATTCTGAAACAAAATGAATAAAACTAAAAGCATTTGAGTTGCAGTAATTATTTTATTGTATTGTCTGTTTTGTTTCAATTCTATCTCTGTATTTTTTTGTAAAATAGTTTGAAAATGCTCTTGTATATAAATTTGTAAGACTTCTACCAGTATTCTTGCTGCAATACCAAATTTGCTACAATATTTAAAAAAAAAAGAAACATAATTTCAATATAAATTGAATTTATATTGAAATTTTATTTTTTTATTATATTTTATTTTTTAAAGTGACAAAATCAGATAGGTTATTTCTTTTTGATGACATTACTTGCTAGCTTATTCACTTCTGTAAATCAAACTCTAATTTTAGTTAAAATTTTATATAACTATCCAAAATCCCCCGTTCCCCCCAACAAAATTGAAAATTAATGGACTGCAAGAAAAAAGACTATTTTACGAAAATGAAAATTGTGGAGGTAGGAAAATCTTATGCCCAGAGAAAAAATTACATCTGTTGTGCTTACATGTCCCCTGATGGTAAATGAACAAGAGGAAAACCCAGACTTACCATCCAACACATGTTTTGGGGCAAATTAAAAGAATGTGGAATATCTGGCTGGGAGGAAGTAAGATCTATTGCTAGAGACAGGAGGCGTTGGAGGGATATGCTAGAGGCCTTAAGTGCCCAAAGGCACGTAGAGGATAAGTAAGGAAAATCTTACTTTATCCACTTATTCTATTACTGCAGATGTACAATTTTTATTGTATAATTTGTTTTGTTAAATATTATTAATGCAACTGTTATATAATATATTAGTTAATAGAAAAAAACTGCAATTTTGATAATTTTATGCCATGAGAAATCTTTGACTTTATTACCAAAAAAATGTTAAGGTAAAAGAAAGAAACATGTTAAAGACTCAATATTTTTTAAGAAATTCATTTTAAAATTATTTATTAATTTTAAAGCAAATTAAATTTTTTTAACTTAGTATAGGGTACTAAATCTTACTAAATTTTAAAATACTAACTAAATGCTATGCTAATACTTACTAAATTCTATTAATTTTTATCAGCGGATTGGCAGTTATGGTAATTAAATTGTTCTATTTTAGATTCCAATTCACATTTTAGAAGTATTTAAAAAAATAATAATGGAAGAAAAAAATAGTATTATTTCTGAAGAGTATTTAAAATTACAATAAAATACCTACTAATATAAAGTCAAAGATATAGACTATATATTTTATTATTTATAAGTGTAAGCAGAAAAATAATTTTCAGCTGTATGTGCCATACTTTTCACATTGTGTGATTGTTTATATGCATAAAATTACTAACAAGTTTATTAACATTAGACTTTGTGATTTCAGAGCAAGTAGCAGTTGACAGCAGATTGTACATGTGTACTGTTTGCAGTAAACAGTTTCCTTCAAGATATAGTCTTAAGACACATTTGTATGTGCATTCTGGCATACAACCATACAATTGTAAGGAGTGTGGCAAACGATTCAGCCAAAAAGGGAATCTCAATGTTCATATCAGAGCCACACATTTTAAGGAACGACCCTTCCCATGTGATGTATGCGGGAAGAGATTTTCATCAAAACAATATGTGCTCTCTCACAGAATTGTTAAGCACAAATCGTTGTCCATGAATTAGATTTAATTGGGTTTTGTTATGTGATAAGTGTGAAAAGGAATTTTGATCAAAATACTACGTTTTGGCTAGCAGAATTGCTAGAAATCAATCTCTAGTCATTGATCTGAGTTTTTGACACAGTGCAATATATGTTAAAAAATTTAAAAGTAATATGTATTCATTGAGTTTAATATATATTTCTGATCATTTTTTGTGCTATTTATTTCTTTTGTTTTAAATGGAATTTTTATCATAACATTTTACACTGATCATTAAATTCTTTTCTTCCCCCTGCTCTTGATCTTTTTTTATTTGTTTCATTTTAAGAAAGGAAAAGTTGAGAGAGATATATATATGCATGCATATGCATATATATTTGCATACATTTTAAGTTGATATATATATATATATGCATGTATATATATGTGTGTATGTATATATATATATGTATGTATATTTGTAATAACATAAAGACAGAAAAGATAAAATAAAAGAAAGATTATTTACTGCGCATAAGCTGCAAGTACATAGAGCTCATAAAATAACTTAAAAATATAAAGAAGACTTGTAAAAAAACATAAAAGATCTTTAATAGAGTGGAAAAATTATTAATTTACAATTTTTAAAAAAAAATATCCTCTATTTACCTCTAATCTCATATGATTGATTGAATTGATTAGAGGATAATATCCTTATATTATCCTCTATTTACGCTTCTATTCTCAAATTTTGTAATCTGCCAAATTTGTTGCGAAAACATTTAAAATCATTTTTGAAAAATGCCTGTAAGTGTAAATACATTTGAATTCGCTTCTCGCTGTATATATTACATTTTGAGTTTTATTCTGTATTTTTTGTTTCTATTTTTTGCTTGATTGTTTTATTTTACGTTTCTTGTTTTATTTTACATGGTTTAATTTTTTTTGTACTTCTCACACTATTGTGTATTGCTATATTTAAGTTTAGGCTATATTAGTACAATATTAGAAAGCACTATTTTTTCAGATATAATCGTGTGAGTTGATGGTGATGACAAGATTATCATTTCTTTCTTTTTTTTAAAACTTGTAAATATTTTTTAAAAACATTTTTTAATAATTTTTTTCTTCTCCTTTAAAAAATCTTTATACGTTTTTCCATGTCTTCTCTACATTTTTAACTTATTTGATGAATTCTATGTACTTACAGCTTATGTGCTGTAAATAAAACTTGTTTCCTTGATTTTCTTCATTAATTTCTCTTTTCTTCTATCCTTTTTCACCTTTATTGTATCTATATATATTTATATAAAAATTTGCAGTTGAGCCTAGTTTGGGTGCAAATATACAACTTTAACTTATTTGAACCTCTATCTTGCCTGTAGTGGTATTATATGTAAATGTCAATCTAAACAAAATTTTTTGTTGGTAATTTAGTAAATAAATACCAGAATTTCCACCATTTTTATAAATGAGATTTTATTTATACGTAACCATAAAATAAACTGTATACTTCTTGAAATATATTTCAATTTTAAATACATCATTATTTAACCAAATGTTTTAGAGGTTTGTGATCCAATTCGTTACTTTGGACTGAAGTAAATTAACCATTCATTTCACTTCTTAAAATATTTTATAATTTTTACATGAGTTGCTATTTTTAAATTAGCATTTAATATTTGTAGCAGAATTTTTTTGCCTTGGTCTGAAATAAATAACAGTACACTTCTTTAAATATATAACATTTAATAAAAAAAAAAAAAACAACAGCTTAAGTTGTTTGTAACAATTTTAGGCAATTTTTTAAGGCATGTGAATAAAGGAACTGTCCAACATATCAATACATTTCTTGAAATATCTTTTTAAATTATAAATTCTAAAATACTTGATTTTTCTGAAACAATCGATTACCTTGGCACATAAATGAATTATCCTTTCAACATAGAATCAGAACTCTCTTATCAGTGCAATTAAAAATGCTAAAGTACAAGTAGTGAAAAAAAATATTTCATTTAGGTACATAGGAGCGAAAACTTTCTGATTTGTAATTTTGAACCAAATTATAAGTTTGACAGCTTTAAAAGCATTGTAGGGTTATTGATGTGTAAATCACTATTTTTGTTTAGTAGTTGCTCTCATTAAATGCAATTATGTTATATTTTTTGTTTTGACTGATTACTTATTCAAATTTGCATTTGATTATGTAAGTTGAATCATAAATAAATTTCATAAAGATATAAATTAGGTTTTTAAATTAGTGTCATTTAGCGCAATTCTTCTGAAACATTTCCTTAATATACTTTTAATCCTTACAAAACTTTCTTTTTAATAAAATTTTGTTTTGAAGCAGAAGAAATTTTCTGTTTAATGTGTATAAAACAGTATATTTCGCTACAGTCAGAATTTTCTACTTACTAATATATATTAAACAACATATATTTCCATTCACAAGAAACTCCTGATTTTAGAAAACATAACAGCTTTTTAGCAGTATTAATTTCGTTTTTTACATTATTGTTAAAATAAAAATCGAAATGGAATAGAAATTCTTCAGGCTTTTCCTTTTTTATCAAAAGCTTTTCAATTGTTAACTGCGCGCAATCTCCAGGGTGTCTGTGAAACAGTCAAATCAGGGAGAACAGGATTAGGAATTTTATCAATCTGGGAAAAAATAGGGAAAATCAATTTGGAGTTTCGAGGTACTTAAAAAGTTCAATGTTTTTTTTAAAAAAGTTGGACTTCTTTAAAAAAAAAAATGTGTTTATTTTCAACTCTAATCATGAGTACAGATTCTTTGCAATATATTTTATGTATATGGAAAAAATATTAACTGAAAAATTAATAATAAAATTGATGCCACTGCTTTCAAAATCAGGAACATTAAATAAAATCTATCTAGGAAAGTAAGGAGATTTACCATTTTTTTTTCAGTGTTTGTGGTCACCCTGAATTCTGAGTTTAACAGCATTTGACTTAATAACTTACTTGCAATGAAATATTTTATATTGTACAGTAAAATGTTGAGAAATGTAAATAAGCAATAACTTTTCTTTTTCAGTACATGCAGCATATGAAACAGCTCCCCAACATAATCTTGTTCCAAATGTTAACCAATTACCTACATGCAAAGTCTGCAATAGGCAGTTTCATTCAAAAGCTCATCTTAAAGTACACATGTATGTTCACCTTGGTGTGCGACCTTTTGTTTGTGAACTCTGTGGCAAAGGATTCAGTCAAAAAGGAAACCTCACTGTTCACATAAAGAGTAAACATTATGAGAAACGACCTTTTGAATGTGATGTATGCAAAAAAGGATTTTCTTCAAAGCAGAATATGGTAGCTCACAAAATTACCAAACACTAGTTATAAATTCAAAATTCCTCTCTTCTTTTTTAAAAAAGTTGTGAAAATTGTTTTCTTTTTTTTTTCATTACAGTTATTTATATATATAAAAAAAATTATATTTTTTATCTCACTAGCATCATTTTATTACATTTATCTTTTTTTAAAGTTTTTTTTTATAAAATTAGTAAATTTTTATTCATTTTGAATTTTCTTTCAAAAGTAGTTATTTATTTTCTTTGATTTATCAGAAGATTAAATATTAAATGTTTGTTGATAAACAAACTTTTCATATTTGCTCATTATTTCTTTATTCTATTCTTTTATATTTCTTCTCTCTATTTCTTTAATGTTTGTTGAAATGAATGAATGTTTTTTTTTTGAACTATTGATAAATGAAGTTCTGCAGTTGATCTGCAAAATAGTTGCTAATTGTTATCCTGTGTGTGCTTTATCAAATTAAAACACTCCTTATTTCTTTGTAGTCGGCATTCATTAAAAATCTTTGCAAAAAAAAATTTATACTTTTAAAAGTATTATGGAGAAAAAAAAGGCAAGTCAAAATAATATGAAGTCAAAATATGTTTCCTGTAATAATACAGAATCTTGCTGGGACTAAAATATTGTAGGACTGTAACTCTTATTTATTTATTTTTAACTATAAAAATAGTTAGTCGTACTTTTCCTAAAAAGAAAAACACCAGTATCTCATTCAGAAAGTATCTTACTCAAACAAAATATTGTTTGACAAAATCTGCTGTAGACAAAATGGTTAATGATAGGTATTAAAAATTTAATTTATGGTAATATCGACACTCAAGCCTTTGCCCTAAATGTGGATTAATTGCATACATTTTTACAGCAGCTATAAAGGAATGCCATTTTGAAGCACAAAAACTGAAATGATGTTGAAAAAATATCTTTACTATATATCTAAATTACTATGTACCTATGCTATCAATGTTATTTATTTATGTATACAATGTCTGAAATACACTGGTGTCCAAAATTAAGGTCACAAACATAATATCTGTGAGAATTAATGAACTGTTCACTGTGTTGCCATAAAATTTGAGGGAGGGATAAATGGATATATTTCATTGGGAGAAAGAATATAAAAGCAACAATAAAGAAAAGATTTTGATTGTGAATTGAGGAACAGGATATATCAAAAAGTGTTTAATCATGAATCAGAGACAAAGTCTTCATCTTGGGGAAAAGTTTGTTCAATATGGAGTGTAACCAATGTACCTTGCTATACCAGCCTCACAATAAGCTTGTACAGTTTAGAAGGGTGCTAAGAATCTTAGGGCAACAAATCCCATTTTTCTAAAAACGTGGCTTTTAACTCTTAGAGTGTCCTGGAAATGGTTAGGCTGTGAAACGTCTCTTCCTTGACCATCCCAAACATGTTCAATAGGATTGACTGCGGAGACCTCCTGGGCTTATTTTGAGGGAGAATATTCTTGGTGCATCAGCTTACTATCAGCCATTAAAAAGATGTCTGAGCCAACACCACCCTTGAACTACCTCGTATGGGCTACACAAACCCCCATCCCTATCGCAATGTGGTGTGACACTCCCTGTATCTAAAACATGCAGTGGTTCACAACTGCCCAACATTATGCTGCCCCAAACGAAAATTCCTTTTCCACCGAGTCTGTCGATTTTTTAAAAAAAAGATAGTGAGCTTCATGTTCTCTCCAGATACACATTTGACCAGAAGCACCATGGTGAATATAGATTCATCACTAAAAAGAACATTCCCCCATTTTGTTCTGTCCAAGGTCAATGTGTTCCGCTCTACAACAACCAAGTTTTCTGTTAGTAGTCAAAGGGACAAACATGATTGGACACTAAATGTAAAGGCCCTGTATTGTCACACATGGCTTTTGCATTTAGAAGGAAAAAAAAGAGAATTGAATTGTTCTGTAGTGTTATTAGCCTAGACTTTTTGTATCGATGATAATGCATGGCCTCCCAAAGCTCTAATTGTTGAGGATTTTCTTAGAGAGGTGGATACTCGCTATATGAACTGGCCCTTGAGTTCTGCGTATCTCAATTGTATTAAAAATGCTTCGGATATGCCAGGAAGAGCTGATAGGCAGAGTAACCCTCTTCCAGGACCCTTCAGGAGTTAAAAGCCATATTGGAAGAAAGCGGCTTTGTTGCCACAAGAATTTCTTGACACCCTCATAAACAGTATGAGAACTCGTTATGAGGATGTTGCAAAGATTGCATAGTAGCACACTGTGGTATATTAGACATACTTTTCCCAAGATAAAGGCTTTATCTTTAATTCATAATTTAATTCTTTTTCATATATTCTGTTTCTCTTCACATTTAAAATATTTCTTTAATGCTGTGGGATTAATACATAGCAACAGTGAATAGTTTATTAATTTTCATATTTTATGTTTATGTCTTTAATTTTGGACGCCAGCATGTCATACTTAAGCTTGCATAAATAAATTTTTATGTATTTCATAAAATGTAGCTTTGCTGTCATAAATCTTTGCTACTATTTTTTTTTTCTTTCAGCTGTAATTATACTTCTAAAAAAAACTCAACTTATGAAAGTACATCAATATAAATTCATCTTCTATTTTTTTAAGATTGTTACTTTTAATCCCGTTTTTACCTCTTTTTGATATTGATTAAATTTAAATGTCTTTATAATATATTTTAATGTTTGTTAACAAGTTTAATTTTGCTATTGGTTTATAAAACTTTTTCTTAAATATTGATTTATATGTTTCATGAATATAAACAGTAAAAAGGTTTAATAAAATCTTGTGTTTTTAATAAAAAGCATTGCTTGTGTGATTGCTTAACCCTTTCAGCGGTAAGCATCTGTACTAATTTGCATGAAATTTTCCTTTTATAATTTGCTTTTCTGTTGGATCAAAACCAATTCGTTGTACTGGAAAAAACTTCCAAGTTCTAATGCTTGAAAGATTGAAAGTAAGTTAGGAGTTTTACATTATTTTGTATTCTGTATAAGTTTAAATAATAGTTTTAACTAATTTTATCCATTTTTATGAAATGTTAAACTTTATATTCTTGTTCTATTTCCATGGATTATTGTAAAAAATTTTCTTAATGTTTTTGAGCATTTTATTAGCAGTCATATTTTCAAAGTTTTACATTTCTTTGGACAAGTGGAATAACTTTTAAAAGCATATAATGTTTTTTTAGGTACTGACTTGAAACGTTTTTCTAAGTTCAAAACCGAGAGTCTTCCAGCTATCGGGGATTTTAGCACAGCAGCTATTTGTCATATCTGCAACAAGCTCTTCCCCTCCAGAACCCATCTTAAAGTCCACTTGAATGTGCATACTGGTGCACAGCCGCATGTGTGTGAACTATGTGGTAAAGGATTTAGCCAGAAGGGAAATCTCACTGTTCACCTCAAAAGAACCCACGCCGGGGAACGCCGTTTTTCTTGTAATGTATGCCATAAAAGTTTTGCTTCTAAGCAGAGTATGACGATGCATATAACTCTGAAGCATCCGTAAAATTATTGCATTCAGGAAAACTTATATTTGACCTTGACATTAAATATATTGTATTTTGTAAGTGTCTGACAAGAATTTCTTTGAAATTATTTTTTACTTTTTTTTAAAAAAAAATGCATTCAATGTGTCAATTTAATTAAATGTTTTGCTCTAAAATTTGGAACTTGAAAAAGAAAAATTTTTATTTCCTGATATATTAAGTTGTTTAAAGGAAGAAAAAAAAAATTTTTTTTTTTTAAAAAAAGAAAAAATAGAATATTGTGTCTAAGCAATTTTTGAAGCTTAGATGCAGTTTTATTTTAGTTGATGTTTCCATCAAAAGGGTTTTTTTTTATTATATCAGCAATCCTCTTCTATAGTTCTTTATAAGTCCATTTGCACAATGTTGCATTTGCAAAATAGGTTGTAAATGGCTGTAACAAAAAGGATGTAATCTAATGTAGGGGTAATCATTATTTTTCACCCACTTTTTTAGTAGTAGAAGAATTTTGTTACTACATTCAATTCCACAATGATTGTTTATGAATTAGGGAGGTAACTTTAATTTGTAATATAAGAAAGTAAAGTTAAACAAAGTTAAAGCTTGCAGGGTGTTTTAAAAATAAGGGAAACTTCTAAGGGAGTGAGATACCTGCAAGTGACACTGTGTAGATAACGCAATACTGATTGGTTATTGCAATGTGGCATTTGTTTACGTTAGCAACTGTTCTTACCATTCTATTTCAAGTAAGCTGAGCCTGTCAAGTATCACTTATCTTAAGTGATACATTCTATATTCTTTCACTATATATTTCTTACCTAATAAAAGACAATCATAAAGCCATGTAGAACATAAACAAATTAATTATGCATCAAAGTTGCCAGGTACACAAAACAAAACTGTATCACTGTTACCATAAAATATATAATCAAATAATAAATCTAAGATAAGTAAAAGAAATAGACAAGGAAGAATTAAATTTCAGCAAATTTAATGTGTGATACGGCTCTCTATTTAACTAACTTCAAGTTAATTAACATTCTAACTTATGTGTAGAAACTTAACTTAGGTTTTTTTGTTTGTAAGCGATCAGCTGGAGCTGACATCATAGATCACATGTGGGTATCCGTGATCTTTGAGTGCAAGTACCCAATTGCATAGTGCATAATGAACATAAATGTGGTACGCCACTAAGGGTGCCACCCATTGTAAACTGGCTGTTTGGGTGCAATTGAAGGGGTACTTATTTACTAATGATTATTGTCAAATGCATTCAAATAGGCCCAGAAAGGTTCTTTCGTTGTGATTTATTGACAAAATTATGAAGATGAGTTTTGCTTCAAACACAGATAAAATTGTGTTATTTAACAGAATAGGATGATGCTTATAACTTATACATCATTCAAATCATGATATTTTTTTTTATTTAGGAAATATGTTTAGACATTTTTCAAAATTCAACAGCCTTCCTGCTATCGGTGATTCTAGCATCGGTGCATCTATCTGTCATATCTGCAACAAGCTCTTCCCTTCCAGAGCCCATCTTAAAATTCACTTGAATGTCCACACCGGTGATAAGCCTTATGGTTGTGAACTATGTGGTAAACGATTCAG